GAGCCTCGAGCCTCGGGAAAGACTTGAGTGTAAAGGCCCTGGGTATGAACACTACTGCTGGAGCAGCTGCTTCTCCTCCTCCAGGGCCCAAAGACAGCCATCTGGCACGAGCCTCCAGCTCTTAAATCCATCCGCGCACAGTCGTGGTCTCTTAAGGTGTGCGGTGAGAGGCTGGGAAAGTGGGGCGGGTGGAGCCCTCCAGACGGAAGCGTGCAAAGCAGAAACACATGGGCGGCTCAGTGTGCTTCCCGCTGTCAGCCCGGCTGTTGGAATGATTTACAGGAGGCCAAGCCAAGTTCCCTCCGCTCCAGACGAAGGGGATGGTGGAAGAGGCAGAGAGAAGCAGGTCACACCTGCATGTTCCGTTCCCCCCTTCTTGGGACAGATTTTGTTTACTTGCAGACTGCAGGTGGCAGTGACTGGGCCTGTAAACACCACTAAGAGGCCAGCTGGCTTGACCCAATCAGGTCACTGAGTGGGGGATTTGAGGCCATTCCTTGAGGGCCTCTAAGCCAAAACCTATTTCCTGCCTAAGTTCCTCTGGGGACTCACCACGCAGCCTTACAGGGAAAACATGGCCCAGTTTATAAACAGACACATGGGACCTGCAGTGAGCAGGGTCTTCAGTTTTTATGCAAACCTGGCCAACTCTTAGCGTGGCTTCAGTGTTATAAGCTGATGCAAATTCCATGTGCTTGGGAAATGCTGTAGAATTAACAGAGAACCATCTCTACATGCCTGTTGCTCATGCGCACTTCACAGATGAGGAAATGGAGGGCTCTGAAAATGACAAGGCATGTTTTCTCTCCACCTGCATAGGGGATAGCCACACAGTAGACATCCAGTACTAATGTGCAAAATGAAATAGATCCTGTAGTTCCCAAATGAATGAACTAACTGACAAAAAAGAGCCAGGGTCCACAGTGGGGCCATTCACAAAAGCCAATGGGGGACAACTACCACATTCCTAACTCGGCTTTCAGTAACCTCATATTGGTAGCTTGCACTTGGTTGTGACAGAAGTCTCTTTACCAGCCTACACACAGATGCTACAAATTAGAACTTTCTCTTTTTTTGACTGAGCTGGTTTACCAGCACAATGGGTACAGGTGCTGCATAGTACAGACAATCAGAACACAGGCAAATGGGACAGGTAAGTAAAATCCAGGTTTTTAACATCATCATCTCAAAAAAAAAATGAATATGGAAGAGTAAGAGGAATCTAAATAAATAATATTTATCACTTCTACACACCTGGTGCAAGGCACCAGGGCAGGAAGAAACCAGTATTTGAGATATAACTCATATTCTCAAGGAACACACAGCTTAGGAACAAACAGTGATGTGCCCATGTGTCACACCTGGGGGTCTTGGTAAATACAGAAAATAATCCAGTAGCTCTGGGTGGAACCCATGAGCAAGCTGCCCACGGACACTATTCTGCCCATCTTGGAAAAGAAAGAGCCATGTGTGCCATAGCAGGCTGTTTGTATCACTGAAAGCTCTAATAGGTTCGCCTTGGTTGGCCTGGATTACTGTCCTGGGTGCTGACCACGCACCAGTGCAACCTGACGGTTAGATGTATGAACACATTTCATCTTCACGACACCAAATATATATTCCTTTTGTCCATGTTTTACTAATGACGCCATGCAGCTCCAAAGTTGCCCAACTCGTAACTGCTACTGGTTCAAACCCAAGTAGTCTGGCTTGGAAAAGAAAAGCTCGCTCTCTCTCTCTCTCTCTCTCTCTGTCTCTCTTTAATTTACTGGTACAATTTAGATACATAATGATCACACTCATCACAGAGAATGTGTTCTTGTATATATCTTGATTCCTCTTTTTTCCCAACCCCCTGCCCTCCCTTTAACCCCTCCTTATTTACAAAGCTTTGTTTCCATTTTATCCTTCGTATATTATTTTCTTTTCCCCACCTTCCTTTCCTCCTCCTCCCTCTCTAGTTCTCTTTCCTTTTGAACAACCTTTTCCTATTTCACAATATCTATTATACATTCTGGTCCTTATTTACTCTTTCAGTTTCTCATACTAGGGGCACACATATGTCTGATTTATTTACTTGAGTATGCTTTCAAGGTGCCCTAAAAATGTCTTCTTATGGCTGAGTAGTACTCCATTATATATTTTTTAAAAAGCCACATTTTTAAAAATCCATTTATCAGTTGAGAAGCATTTGGGTTGTTTCCAGAATTTAGCTAATACAAACTATGTTGCTATAAACATGGGTGTCTTAGTTAATTTGTTGTTGCTGAAACAAAATACCCAACATCCAAAGTTAGAGGACACAAATTTTTAGCTCACAGTTTGTACAGGTTTTCAGCCATAATCAGCCGGCTCTGGGGCAGGGTGCCACACGGCAGGGGCAGCAGGTCTTGGCAGCAAGAGACACCAAAAACAACAAGAGCAAAAAGGAGAAGAAAAGCCTCTTTCTGTTCCTTTTATCTTACCCAGACTGCTAGGGTTAGGGCGATACCAATCCAGTTAGTGGACTGATCCAGCAATCTTTCAGCCTTAATCCCAGCACCCTTCATCTCAGCATTGAACCATGAATCAACCATAAACTAAATTCAACTCCCTCCCAAAACTCCCATTTAAAAATACATGAGGCTTTGCGGGGGCATCTAGACACGACCCATAACAATGGGTGCACATATATTGCTGTGGTATAGTGTCTTTAATTCTTCCCCAGAAAGGTAAGAGCTGGGTCAAACAGGACCTCTAGTCCTAGTATTTCTGAGGAATCTCCACACTGATTTTTACAGTGAAGACACCAATTTACACTCTTGCCAACAGTAGAGAAGTGTGTAGTATGTCTAGTGTGATTAGGGTTTTGTTCATGAAATCTTTGCATACACATATGTCTTCAATAGTTCTACCTATTTTCTTTTTGTACAGATTTAGTGCTTCTGCTTTGATATTTTGATATTTAACTCATTTCAATTTTAGTTTAGTGCATGGTGGGAGACATTGGTCTTTGGCACATGGAAAGCCAGTTTGTCTAGCATCATTTATTAAAGGGGTTATCTTTCTTCCAGTGAACATGTTTGGCCCCTTTATCAAAGATAAGGTGGGTATGTGTGTTTAGAGTTTCTCTGGCATCTTCTAATCTTTTCCACTGATCCTCAGGTCTGTTTTATTTGCCAGTATCATACTGTTTTTGTCACAGTAGCTCAGTAGTATAATTTCAAGTCAGATATTGTGATGCCCCTGCCTTGCATTTTTGTCCTGAATTTCTTTTGCTCTTCTAGTTCTCTTCTGGTTTCAGATGAATTTTAGGAATGTTTTCTCTAGTTCTGCGAGGTATGCTAATAGTATTTTGACTGGGATTGCATTAAATCTGTATAATAGTTCTGGAAGAGCCATTTTTACTATGTTGGTTCTTCCTATCCATAACCAAAGACTTTCTACTTTTTAACAGTCTCTTTCATCTCCTTTTTCAGAGCACTATGATTTTTAATGTATAGATATTTGACTTCCTTTGTTAGGTTGATTCCTAAGTATTTAATTTTTTTGCTATTGTGAAAGGTGTTCCCTTAATTTCTCTTACTGTGTTTATGTACAGGAATGCTATTGATTGAGTGTTGACTTTATATCCAACTACAGTACTGAATTACGTATTTAAATCCACCAATGTTTTGGTGGAGTTTTGGGGTATTCTGTGTAGAGTATCATGTCATCTGCAAAGAAGGATAATTTAACTTCCTCCTTTCCTATCCTTATTCCTTTTACTTCTTTTTCTTGTCTAATTGCTCTGGCTAACACTTCTAGAACTACACTGAATATAAGTGGTAATAGTGGACATCATAGTCTTGCTCCTGATTTTAGAGTGAAACTTTTCAGTTTTTATCCACTTAGTATTATGTTGGCATGCTCACTTCAGGGCCATATATACTAAAAACTGATGTTGGCCATTGGTTTGTCATAGATGACTTTTATCAGTTTGAGAGAAAGAGCATCTATTCCAATTTTCTGTAGGGTTTTCATCATGAATAGTGGTGGACTTTGTCAAATGCTTTTTTCTGCATCTATTGAGATGATCATGTGATTTTTGTCGCTGACTCTGTTGATATGGTGTCTTACATTTATAAAGTTGCTCCCTTTCTGAAGCTTTATTGGGGTAGGGCTTTTTAAGTGATTTTCTATCTTGAAAACTATCCTTACCACTCTCCTTTCTGTTCCCATCATCTCTTTTCGTTAACTTCCCTTTCCCTATTCTACTGCCTCTGAGTCTTTCTACCACAAGAGAGCTAAGAAGTAGGAAACAATGCTTAAGTGTAATTCCCAGTATATTACCTGCATCTCTTATTTTATGTCTTCTGGCACTTTGACATCCAAGATCTTGTTAACTTTGGCAGGATTGTTCTCTACCATGGTTATCCAACTTCTGGTATAGTAAACAGCCTGCCACTACTGTGCCATCCAAATGCAGGTCAACCAATCAGAGCCCACAGCCCAGCCATCTACTGGATGGGGTCCCTCTCTCCATGCCATTATCTCCCTGCCCCATCACCCCAGAGCCAGGTACTAAGAACAGTGAGCCTCTGAAATTATTCTAACTAGCAGATCCCAAAACTGCTTACCCAGCCTCACACATTCCTCCCTGAAGACACCATAGTAAAGGCACCTGCCCACATTCTCCTCAGTCCTTCTCCCTCCTGATAACTCTAGCCCTTCCTGTGTAACCACTCACGGCAGTGAATCTCCTTTTTCTGTAAACATCACCATCTTTTCAATGATAGTTGTCTCCTGATTTGTTAGTCTGATCATATAATAAAACCTATATTTTAAAACATCAGGTACACCTCAGGAGAAGGAAACTCAATCCCAGTGAATTGGCAGATAATATAGGATTTCACTTGCTCCTTCCATGTCTACCCCCTTACACACACCCTCAGTGGCCTCTTTCTCAGTGTGCTTGCATGGGGCTAACCCTGCTTGTCTGGACAATCCCATGCACGGAAAACAATGCCAGCATCTCTTACCTAATGCCCCGGCAGGTGCTGAGTGTGACACTGGACCCTTCTGTCTTCCTCACCACCCCGTGATAGAAACAGTGATCCTAGCAAAGAGAAAAGAAGTGGTTAGGTCAAATGACCCTGATAAGCATAGCAATGGGAACATCTCATAAAGATGACAGATAACTGATCACTTATTATAATCTACCTAAACCTTGCAGCACCTTACGACCTGCTCTCCAAGACCTCTCCAAACCCCAGTTCCTCATGGTAATCCTGGGAGGTAGAGGCAACACAGATATCATTATGCACATCGAACAGATGGACAGGCTCACAGGAGTAGAGATTTGTCAAAAGTTGGCTTTGTACAACCCAGGATTTTTGTATCTGGTTCACAGCTCTTCTGAAAGAGGTAACCTCCCACCACCGCCTCAGCTGTAACCCATGTTATAGGTTGAGCAATGTCTCCCTAAATTCACAGCCACCAATAACCTCAGAGTACAACTTGGTTGGGAAATTAAATTTTTGCTCATGCAATTATATTAACATGAAGTCATACTGGATTAAAGCAGGTCCTAACCCAATGACCTGCATCTTTTGAAAAAGAAGGGAGGATACAAACAGACATACACAGGAAGAGCAGTCATGTGAACATAGAGGAAAGGAACATAGAGGACTGGCGACATGAAGCTGCAAGCCGAGGAACACTAGGAAGCTATCAGAAGTCACCAGAGGCAAGGAGGATTCTTCCCTGAGGCTCTGAAGGGACCAGGGCCCTGCCAACGTCTTGATTTTGAAACTGTAACATCCATTGCTGTTTTTTTAGCAACCAACTCCATGTGCTTTGATGCAGCAGCCCTAGAAAGTGGGTGTACCCATCCCTTCCACCGCCCGTGACGCTCATCCCCATCACTCCACACCTGGAGCCTTCTGACTTGGAACCTGGATCCACACACCTCGATGCTATTCTCTAATCATGGTGACTCCTGGCCATCTGCTCTCCCAAACTGGCTGATTCTCTGTCACTACCGACAGCTGTGGAGCACCGCTGTGTGCCAGGCCCTGGGCGAGGAGCCAGAGATGTAACAGTGTGCAAAGAGAAACTCATCTCAAGCCATCTCGGGGGCTTATGGTCTTGTAAGAGCCAGTGATTAATTAGGAGTCCAAAGATAATTACTTACAAATTAAAGTCTAAGACACTAGCAGTTTCTTAAGTAGGTAACCAGGGCATTTATGAGGCAAACACAAGACCACTGAGGGTACTGAAGTACTCAATCAAATGGAGAGGTAGTCACAAAGGACATACTCTTGTACACTGTGTCTCAGATAGGTCAGGGCAGGCGAGCTGGCCAGAAGAGAAGGAGGAGAAGCTGCCAGGGTGGAGCCAAGTTCTGGAAAGGCCGAAGGGAGGCTGCACACATGGAAGCCTTCTCTTTTCTCCCCAACACCATGAGCCTGAGCAGGCCTAGTCAGGGATTCTGGGGGCATCATCTGGGTGACAGTGCAAGGACCAGCTGCAGGGCTCATCTATGGAGCTGTTTGCTTGTCCACGACAGGCAGATACATGGCCCGGGAGACAACAAGCCCCTTTGTCTGTATTCTCTGGCTCTGCTTCACTGCTGGCTTTAGGCACAAGTAGAGCCTCACAATTAAATCCAAGCATTTGGCACAGCAGGGACAGATGTAAATCCGGACACCCATATCCACCAGCCACACACACAGTCCCACAGCTTCTCTCTGGCCTTCAGTGTCTTCAGCCTCTACCTACAGAGTTTATCACGGGGTGACTACAGCTTGCCTAGGCCCTGGCCCAGAGGGACAGGCAGTGTACATCAGGGACCGCGCTGTCATTAAAGTCTCCTTCACAATGGCAGAATGTGACTTTGCGGGATGTAGATGCCTACCAAAGGGCTGAACTCACGGTCATAGCTGGTTCTAGATCTGCACCAGCTAGGCCAAGCAGAACAGAGGATCTGGGCCAAGGTGATGCTTAGCTCAGGCTCCCCCGTGGAGTCACAGGCAGCCTTATCTCCCGATCACCCATCATCCCAGGTGGATGTGGGTCCTCCACCCATTCACACTCACAAAGGCAGGAGGGACAGGCACCGACCCCCGTTTAGCATGAAACAGTGTGGACCGTACGTCTCATCTCAGCCCTTAGAAGAGTGAAAAGGAAAGTGACACCCCTCAGCACCTAGAAGAGAATGTGAGGCAGCTGAACCCTCCTTCTGGTTTGCAAATGCCACCTTGTCACTTTTTCACCTGTCCTTGGGCTGTGGGACTTGAAGGTGGATCATTAAAGGATCGAACTGGAACCTGGTCCTTACAACTCAACACAGGCCACGGAGACGCATGGGGCCAAATCTCTGTTGGGCAAATGGGACTCCTAGACGTCAGCATGATGAAGAGGCAGTGAATGCAGAAATGTAGGTCAGCCATGGTTTCTAAACCCCGGTGCTTTCCCAGGGGATGAGAACTCAAATCCAGAGATGGCTGTAAAGAAGCCCTGTGCCTCCTTCTGTCTCTGGACCAATGCTTTCCACATGCACAGCTCAAATGTGCTCTGAAATAGCGTGACAGCTGGCTCTTGTCACCCAATCTACAGTGTACACAGGGCTTCTGCCTGCAGCATCACATGCGATCAGGACACCTGCTGTCTACCGTCAGTCACAGTAGTGCTGACATGGCTCCAGCTCTTAGCACTTCACGACTTGGGCAGATTGTTTTCCCTTAGTTCTGACTCCAACCTTAGGAAGCAGCTTATTGCTCCTGTGTTTTAAAAGGAAAAAACTAAAGACTAGACAAGCTTTTTTTTTTTTCTTTTTTTCTTTTTGTCTTTTTCGGTACCGGGGATTGAACTCATGACTGCCTGCTTGCAAGGCAGGCACTTATGCCACTGAGCTAAACCTCCAGCCCTAGGCAAGTTTTTTAAGTCGCTCACAAAATGGTGTAGTGCAGTGGAGATTTGAACTCCAGCATCTTGTCCCCAAACTGCATCCCCTGCCTCTCCTAGCCACAGTACCACCAGCATCCGCGAATGGCACAGGCTTCCCCACCATGCTTTGTTACTTCTGGCACCTCAAGCAAAAGGGTGGAAAGTTCTAGAATAAGCCTTGCTACTTCTGAACTTGGGCAAGTTACTTTTCTTCATCTCCTCTCCATTCCCTCATCTGTAAAATGTGCGACTAGAAAGGACGTTTATAAATTCCCATGGAAATCAGTGATTCATGTTATTCCCCCCAAAGCCCTGAGAGTCGAATAACAGCATATCTAATTTTTGAGATGAAAAAATCAACAATAGTGTGGTTGGAAGGGTTGATTAAGGCCACACAGCTTTGTGAAAGCCAAGACTGCAACCCTGGCTTGAGATCCCAAACCCTATAATTCTTTCTTTGGGAACACATTACAGACCCATTCCCCCAATGTCCTGACCTACATTTAGGTCCAGTGAGTCCTGATAAGATTCCCAGAACTCTAGCTACGACTAGCTAAGCTAAGCAGCACCCTTAACACTTAGCAGGTCAAGAGCAGCTACATGGTTTATTCCATTCCTGTTCCTCCTTGAGTTCTCAGCTCCTCTATGAGAAAACTGATTGGGACCTCCAGGTTTGAGTGGGACTTCACAAGAGGACAGCATCGGGGCATGCAAGAAGCCATGCCATGGCTCAGCTAGGATGTGCTCCAGCCAAGACCATCAGGAAGGATGCCGATTCTGGGGAAGAAGGAACATTTTCTTCTACTTCTCTGCTTCTGAAAGGCCCTTACAACATCTCTGCTTACTGCATGAGAACACAAAGGACAAGTCAGGATCAGTCATGAAGTCACTGCATTCCGCAGCCTCTCAGTCCAGTGGAGCCACCCTGGGGGGCTTACAGGGCAGGAAGCGTGAGCTCATGGCACACTGTGGACTGAGCCCCATTCTTCAGTTATGGGTGCACTGGGGAAGGGAAGTGATCTCAGAGGAGGGTGCTCTGTGGGGTTGTAATGGCTAAGGGCTCCCTGAGCTTGGTTGTTACCTAGTCCCTGCCCCTGCCTCTGCCCTAGAGAACAGAAATCTGAAGGAAAAAAGTTCAGACCCAGAAGGGTGGAGGTGTGGATGGCAGCAACAATGTGACAATGGTCCACCTTTTCTGCTGCAGACACCTGCCATGCTCCCCACTCCTTCCCCATCCAAGAAGGCCTGAGACAGGAAACCTTCACATCCAACAAGCTAACAACCCCTCAGCCACCTCGTTACGGCACTGTAGCTGTTAAGTCTATGGATGTTAACTGTCCTGGTCTCTTTCTCCATTCCAAGGTAATCCAATACACCAATCTGCACTGTAAGCAACTGACAGTGGCTCCCAATATCCTGTTAGGCACTTGCACTCTTCAGGGTCATTTTAAGGAAAGGGCCACATGGGTTCCCAGGGAAGCTCCTGAAGAATACAAAGCAGAGTGACCTCAGTGCTTTCCTCCACACTGCACTCAGCTCTCAGAACCCCGTACGTCCTCCCTCAAAGGCAAAGGGCCAGTCCTGCCCCTGAGCCTTCTCCTTCACCCATCCTTCCAACCCAGGCTGTGAAAAGGTCACTCCAATCCAGTATTTCTCAGTTTGAGCGCTACTGATATTTGAGGATGGATCATTCTTTGTGGTAGAGGGTCTGTCCTGTGAGATGTTTAGCTTCCCTGGCCTCTCTCCATGACACCCTCCATGACAACCAAAACTGTCTCCAAATATTGCCAAGTGTTTCCTCAAGGGGGAAGTAGCTGTGGTTGAGAATCACTGCTGTTAGCCTATGGATTCTGACAGGTATTGCTACAGGAAACACCAGCAAACACGAAATGTGTATTATTCACTAGTTTATATGTCCACCAGTAGGATGTATTGAAGCAAATTAAGATATGTCCATCTTAAAAACAATTTCTAAATTATAAATCTTTGTGCAAATATCCCTACTCAAAGGTAACTTTTAATAGTTATTCCCCTTCTAGGTATCTTCCTAAGAGTTAGAGACGCCATGTGACAGTGATACATGCATACCCATGGTTATCCCATCACCAGAAAAGTGGGTAAAGAAAATGAGTTATTTATGCACAACAGAGTACTAGTCTGCAACAAAGGAGGATAAATTTGACTCATTTGGAGGAAAATGGATGCCTCTTGAGTCCATGTTCAGTGAAATAAATCAGACACACAAATCTTAAATATTGTATGTTCGTTGTTCATGAAACCCAAAGCGTAAATAAATTAAAAAGCAACATAAAAGACAATAGGAAATAGGGAGATAGATCTTTAACAAGTGGGAAGAAGACCAAGAGATGTCAGGGGAGTGTAAAGAGAATTTAGATGTGTCAGTACAGGTACCAAGCACTCACAACGAATGTATTCATTATGTACTACAAACATGGACAAATAAAAATACTTTGAATGTGAAGTGTCCAATATTAAAGACAGTTGCAAAATAAGGAAATCTTTATAGCATAAAATCACATTTAAAAAGTAGACTGTAAAATGTATATGCACAATAATTACAATTCTGTGTACCTTATACATCTACTTTTCACCTAATTGGATGGGATGACAGGATTATGAGAAAATTATTTTTTACTTAGAAGTTTTGTTAACATGTTGGTAGTTAACATAACTTTAGGACAATTTATGCCAATTTTGTCAGTGCAATCACCCTTGAACAGTCTGTTGGTTCAGCAAGGCACGGCAAGTAGAGATACAACAAACGCACATTTTATCTATTTGGCTTCCCCTGTTTGCTCCTTTGGTCTTCAGTCAGGAGGAAAAAAATCCCTTCGGAAAAGGGGCCAGCTCCAGAATGCAACTCCTCAGTCCTTAGGAGTGAAACCCAGCTAGGGCAGTTACTGAAAAAGACCTGAGCTTACCTTAGATTTCAGAGTGGTGGTCTGAGGGTTGCCAGTTGGAGTATAGTAGGTTTCTGTATAGTCTGGAGCAAAAAGACGCCTGCAAAGAAATAAAAATGTATCTTTAGCTGATAGACTTCAATCTCCCCAGTAACAACAGCCAGTGATTTTAACTGGACCAGGAACGGTCACCCCAAGCCTTTCCATGCAGAAAACTCCTGAATGGCCAGCAGGAAGGGAGTCATAAAAAGAAGACTGGGGGAGTTTGTCATTAATTTTATATTCATTGAGATCATCACTACAACCAGATCGACAGAACTAAAGCAATTCATTTTTCTTCAGTCCTGAGAAAACACACACACACACACACACACACACACACGAAATATCCCAGGGGCTATACACCCTATCGTAAGCTGTGATCAACATGTCATGCACTGAGTTTTAGTCAACATATCAATCTTTTTTAAAAAAAAGAATAATGCCTGCTAGGTGTGGTGGAGCACACCTGCAATCCCAGCACTCAGGAGGTTGAGACAGGAGGATCGCTGTGAGTTGGAGACCACCCTGGACTACACAGAGAGTTCAGGGCCAGACTGAATTACAAAGCAAGACCCTGTCTCAAAAATAATAAACAAATGAGTGAATAACATCTCCCCTGTTGCAAGTTTGGTAGGACTGTCATTCAAGGTGTACCACATGGTCTTGGTCCAGAGGTGGCCTATGCTTTAAGCAAACCCAAAGGAGTCAATTGCAAGTACCAGCAGATGGAAGCACTCTACCTGTTCCTGCTAGGAAGGTCACAGAGCTGCCTTTGCCCATCCTTCCGAAGGCCTAGCAGTCTTAGATTTTCTGTGACCTGATAGTTCTGTGTATTGTCCTTACAATAAACTCCCTGTTATTTTCTAAACTTGAACAATGGTTTCTCTCTTGTTTCCAGACCTTCTGAAGCTGAAGTTAAGAATGTCTCACCGCGAGCCAGGCAACACCAAATGAGGTTCCCAGAATTTCTCTAAAATCCAGAAGAAAGAAGAAAGGACCAAACAGAAGTTTCACCTAACAGAATGGATCCACAGACAGGCCAGGTCAGCAGGCAAAGGGACAGAATGAGAGACAGTTCTGGGACACCTGTCTCTCATTCTGTCCCACAGTCATTTACCCAGAAGGCAAATAGCTTGAGAATTAACACACAGCCTTGACAAGAGGAAAAAAGACCTAATAGGAATATGTATAAGTAAACCAAAGCACAAAACCTGGCCAGTACAGAGAAAGCCTTATTCACGTAGAAACCGTTGGTCAGCCAGTAACTTGCCAGAATGTCTCTTTCTGGTTCTCCTTAGTTACTAAGCCTTAGCAGCTAACCAACCAGTCAGGATCTGGAGCAGGAGTCGCGCTTGAGTCCCCAGGAAATAAGCTAAGCTCCAGAAGAACAGAGGCCAAGTAGTTTTGCTCTCTAGTATATCAACGCCTTACGCTTGCTAAATGAAAGAACTACTCAGCTGAATCCTGAAGCAATGAATGAGTAGGTCCGTGTGTCAGGAGTTTAGAATGTGGTCCGGAGTCCAGAAGACTGAGGTTCTGATTCCAGTTCTGACTCTTTCTGTCCCCAGGGCCATCAGCTAGTTTCACCTTGGTTTCCTCTTCCACAAAATTGAGGATAATATACCTAGTTGATCAGACTGTTTTTAAGAATCATGTAAATAACAGGTCCTGTGGCAGGTTGAATAGTATACTTGATAAAAGTTAGTGATTATCATGACCATTTTCAGTGGCGCTCAGGATGGAAGAACTCAGAAAAACTCACAGAATTTACCTGTTTTTCTCTCTGGTACTCCCCAGCCATTAACTCACCAGGACCTGCCTCCCTGGAGAGAGGGGATACAAAGCAATGAGCTCATTTCTGGGGCCCATTTCCTGGATGGGTTTTCAGCCTGCATAATGGAGAGTGGTCAGGGTTTAGCGTTTAATGGTCCATCCTGGGTACCAGCGGGGAAATGTGAATTTAACCACAGGAAATACACCTGTGGTAAACACATCCTGAGCCTCTTCTGAGTCTTAACAGGGAAAAAGTCATTTATCTAATGACATTAAGGTGCTCTAGAGACAGTAATCCAAACTGAGCTGTGGAGGTGTCCATCTCCAGGTCAGGTTCAGCCGAACATCCTCAGAAGATTATTCCATCACCTGCCCCCGATCTCGGCACCCTCCAACAATGCAGAAGACCCTGGAAATCACATAATCAGACTAAGTACACTGTGGGGTCCCTAAGGGCAGAAACCACAGTTGCCTTTCAAGGTTTCCTCCCAGCAGACAGGCAGCACATGTTTATTCTGAATAAATGGATGGATGAACAAATAAGTACATGACAGACAAAACATCTATCTAAGGCAGGGTGGCCATTCAGCATTGGATACCTCTGGGACAAGGAGTTCCTGACACTGCTCATCCCATTTCTGATCACACAGACACAGTGTGGTTCCTACACTGAATGAAAAAAAAAGCTTCCACCCTGCAAGCGGCACTCCCTGGCTTTTACTCTATCTTCTGACAGAGCATCTGCTTCCTCTCCCATCTAACTACCTACCTGTTGGAACCAATACATAGTTAAAAATACAAATTGTCGAGCCTACCCCAGACCTATTGAATCAGATAGAAAATCCAGGGCTGAAACCCAGCCTTTCTTTTAGTAACATTCCAGCAGTTCTGATGTAGGCTCAAGTTTAGAGCCACTGTCTTAGACCACAAGTTCTCAGATGAACTTCAGAAACATCTCAACATGTTTCACTGTCGAAGCCCCTCACCCCATCCTGCATCTACCACATCCTGGGGCACTGGGAACTTGGGGAACCTGAAGAATCTGCAATCCTAACTGTTTACCCTCAACACTTCCTTCCCATATTATAGTCGAGGACAAGGCTCCAAGCACCCACAGCCGCATCAGAGGCTGAATTTCACACCCATCCTGTGGACCACACTCTCTAAGTACTTTGCTGCTGTGTTTTGGTGGAAGCATAAAAGCCAGTAACCTGTGGACCAAATTGTGATCAGAAGGTGAAGACAGGGGCCTTGAGGTCAAATATGATGTCAGAGAAAAGGAGACCATTATCTCTTGGGTATGAATGTGCACAAAAGGCCACTGGCGTAAGCAAAGGCCGTCACAGGAAAAGGAAGGTGAATAAGCACAAATTTCAGGTGTAGCTTTATGGAAATCCTTCCTCAAATAGAGCTGCAGATGCTGATCTGGAAGACCTTTTCTTTTAGCAGCAAAAGAAGGGCCATGTTTCATCACCATGACTACAATTACACTGGAAGGGAAGGAAGCACTGCTTTTAAAAGCTCTCCATACCCTACATACGGCCACATGTGCCCACAAGACCAGCAAGACCCTCGTGCCGCTCGCAAGAACAAAGACACTACTGTTCCCATGGAGAGAGGCCACATGGACACTGAGTGGCCCTCCCGGCCCAGCTGTCCCTTTTCTGACCACATCTTGTTCCCATCTCCTCCCCGACAAGGGGCTGGCTCAGCACTTGGGCAGGAAGCTGTCTCTCAGCGCTCAAGCACATTAGGATTTTCAGGAAATGAGTTGGGAGTGAGTGATGAGCATCCAGGAAGAGCAGAGACAGTCCCTGATTTCCCACCCCACCCCCTCCTGGTGCCGGCTTTGATAGGAGAGCAACCACTGCTGTCTCCAGTCCCTGCTGGCTCTGTGCTCAGAAGCCACCGTCAGGCATCGATCAGGACGTTGTCCTCCACTTCGTATTGCCCTTGTGACATGAGCAGCTGGCCCTGGACGAAAACTGGAGGACTTTGAGCCAAACTGGTATCTTCAGAATCCCATCTAAGAAAAGAAGCTGTTCCTTGAATGCCACACATAACACACGAGACCATAGAATCCCTTGTGGCAACAGGAAGCCCTCCAGTCTGAGCCAGCAGCCAGGCCCCCAGAGCTCACTATCTCTGCAAACAGCCCTAGCTTGAAGCCTTCAACCCCAGGACAATTTCTTTAACTGCTCTTTACTTTCAGGAGAGTTTCAAATGCCTCTGTCAACTAAAACCCCTTCTCAGGAGGGAGGAGCAAGGAGACTAAAAGTAAATCTGCAAAACCTCTTTGAGGAGCTCACTCCCCTTTCTCATCAGATAAGCAAACATCTGATAAAGACAAAGTGGTAATGATTTGCAAACTGCCTTGCAGAGCAGCTCAGTGACAGCACACATAGTGACCAGGCTGTGAGGTCCCTGCTCAGCCTGGCCAAGGCTGTTCTCACTGGCCTGCTGCTGCTGTGGGGTATGGATCTGCAGAGCTCTTCCTGGAGCTCCCGGGTGGTTTGTGCCTTGGGGAAGCTCGGCCTTCCTGCTCCCTCCCCAGTGAACTGGACCTTTTCCTGGTCCCCCTCTTGGCTGAGTTACTGATCACACAGGCTGTGTTCATGCTGTGCTCATTGCCACGAGACTCAGGCAGCACCTGCCCAACACCACAAAGTATTAAAAAGTACAGAATCCCAGGCCCACTGAGAATTACACCCTGTAAGTAAGAACTAGGAAACCTGGATCCTTCATACATTTTCCAGGGGACGCTTTTTTCAGGCCCAAGAAGGGATCCTACTCTATGTTGTCGATTGTAATATCTTAAATTCTCTTCTCCATTCCTTGCTTCCTGCTCACCACTTCAAAAAGCTAAACATGACCTATAAGTATGTACCATTTTAATGTATCAATTAAAAAAAATTCAGCCAGGAATGGTATAATCCTGGCACACAGAAAGCTGAATCAGGAGGATCTCAAATTCAAGGCCAGCCTGAAACACATAGCAAAACACATACATGGTCTCAAATTTTTTTTGAATGACACTAGCACAGTACACAAGGAAAGTCTAGGCTCAGAAAGCTTTGGTTCTAGCGCCAGCTGCACAAGATGCTGTCCTTCAGGGCTTCCAAGCCCTGAAATAAAGCAAAAAATGACTGTGGTTCTCTCAGTGAGCATGGTCAGGTCTCAAATCTAAAGGCCTGGCTAAGTTTCTTTGGATTCTCTTGTGGGGAGGGGTCCTTGGGGAATGGGAGTCACAGCTTTGATAGACTTACCACTGACAGTTAACTAGGT